AAGAGAGGCTCAGTGCCTGTGGCTCAAGTGGCTAAGGTGCCAGCCACGTACACCTGAGCTGGCAGGTTCAAATCCAGCCTGGGCCCACCAAACAACAATGACGGCTGCAACCAAAAAATAGCCAGGCGTTGTGGCGGGCACCTGTAGTCCCAGCTATTTGGGAGGCAAAGGCAGGAGACTCACTTGGGCCCAGGAGTTGGAGGTTGCTGTGAGCTGTGATGTCATAGCACTCTACCCAGGGCAACAGCTTGAGGCTCTGTCTCAAAAAAACAAAAACAAAAACAAAAACAAAATGAAAAGTGAAAGAACATAGGATACTTGTCTGGCACATAGCCGGTCCTAGAAGAGTCTAGAATGTTAATATGGTCAGCTCAGCTCTCTCATCACACCAAAAAGAAAATTGACATCAATACTGACTCTCAGAATCAGGTGTAAACCAGCATAAAGGTGGAAGGGCAGAAACCAGAAGGTCCTGACCCTGCTTACAGCCATGTTACAACTCACCAGGACTCTGATAAAGACCCAGAACAAAACTTGCCAAGTACAAAGGTCAGATTTCGTTAAGTGCTTTTCCCCTAAGAATGTTGCTTCAATCTGCCGTCCTAATTTATTGGTTTCCTCGCTTTTAGGAACAACTACTATCTTCTCGTAAACCCATCTGGCACCCCAGACCAGCAGTCCAGGAACACACTGGGCAGCGGCAGCCCCTCAGGGACAAGCACATGGTATCCCAGCCTGCCCCGAAGGCCTCTCTGGAGAAGCCTGTGAGTTCTGGGTCTCATCCATCGCCACCCTTCTCCCCTTTCAGCCCCATCTCCTCTCTGGTCTGTGATTTCCCGACGCTATGAGAAGCAGAACAGGCACAAGGGAGGAGTTTGGCACAGAGTATCAGCCAGGCTTTAGCAAGAGGCATTCCCAGATCGAAACCCTAGGCTCGTGGGACAGATGAGATTCAGAGCTGGGGCAGAAGAGCTCACAGGCTAAGCCGGGAACATCTGGGAATAGGGAAGTGCTCAGAACACCAGAGGATGGGGTCCTCCCTGACCTACTCTGGGACCATTTGAGCATCAGACGAAATGGTAACAGAGTATAACCCATGGAACAAAATATGAATCCCTGAGTCCATACAGATACAAATGTATCAATAAAGAAAATGAGGGCGGCGCCTATGGTTCGAAGGAGTAGGGTGCCGGCCCCATATGCCGGAAGTGGTGGGTTCAAACCCGGCCCTGGCCAAAAACTGCAAATAAATAAATAAATAAATAAATAAATAAATAAAATTCATTTAAAAAAAAAAAAGAAAGAAAAAAAACGAGAGTCTGATGAAGAACTGGGTATTGACACAGCCTCCACGTATCTCCCTTCAAAAGAATCGGTAATCGTCAAAGAGAAACGAATGACCCCTCCAGTGGGAAGGCCGGGCGGATGTCACTTTCAGCAAGGGCTCTAAGTGCACACAGCATTGGAAAGGGGACAGATCAGGAGTCCCCAGAAGAGCCTGGCATCATTTCTAGGATCTTCCGGCCAAAAGACGCAGGCCCTGAATCCACTCAGGAGGAAACACCAGTCAAACAAACCCAAAGGGGGGGGGGGCGTTAGGGAATCGCCATTCCGCACTCTTCCTACATGTCAACGAAGGAAAAGCCTGGGGAAGGGACCCAGACTCAAGGGAACTCAAGGAGCCGGACAACCAACTGCCACTCCCAACTCAGCTGGATCCTTCTGCTGAGAAGGCCTTCACTGGGACAAGTGAAGAAATCTGAACAGGGCCTGAGAATCCATTGGTGGTAATGTGGTCGATGTGAGTCTCCTGATTCTGATGATTTTACTCTGGTCATGTAAAAATACCCCCTTGTTTGCATGAAACACACAGTCAAGATTTGGGGGTGCTAAGGTGTCAAGTCAGTAAGCTGCCCTCAAATCATTCAGAAGTTCTTTGTATTGTACTTCTAACTTTTCTGCAAGTTTGAAATTGTTTCAAAACAAAAAAATTGTTTTTTTCAATCTACCATCTGCCCTCACTAGAGTGCTGTAGCTTCATAGCTCACAGCAACCTCTAACTCTTGGGCTTAAGCAATGCTCTTGCCTCAGCCTCCCAAGTAGCTGGGGCTATAGGCACCTGCCACAATGCCCAGCTATTTTTAGAGACAGGGTCTCGCTCTTGCTCAGGCTGGTCTCAAACCTGTGAGCTCAAATCCACCCACCTCAGCCTCCCAGAGAGCTGGGATTATAGGCATGAGCCACCTTGCCCAGCCTCGAATTGAAAGAATCTTAGTGGTCGGTAGGTCAGTGGTAGTTTATCTCCAGGAACCACATGGCAATGTCCGGAGACAGTTTTCCTTGTCACAACTGAGGGTACATGTATTATGAGCATCTTGTGGGCTGCTAACCGTTCCATGAGGCCCAGGACAGCTCCCCGCAGTAACGAATTTGTCCCTTCTCAAGGGTCATTAGTGCCGAGAATGAAAATCGCAGTGACAGTAAGATCCCGGTCCTGGTGCAGCGCCTGTGGCTCAAGCGGCTAAGGCGCCAGCCACATGCACCTAAGGTGGAGGGTTCGAATCCCCAGCCCAGGCCCACCAAACAACAATGATGGCTGCAACCAAAAAATGGCCAGGCGTTGTGGTGGGCGCCTGTGGTCCCAGCTACTTGGGAGGCTGAGGCAGGAGACTCCCTTGAGCCCAGGAGTTGGAAGTTGCTGTGAGCTGTGATGCCATGGCACTCTACCCAGGGTGATAGCATGAGGCTCTGTCTCAAAAAAAAAGAAAAAGATCCTGGTCCTATGCTTTCCAAGTACATGATCTTAAACAAGCGCTTCACCTTCCTGAGCCTCAGGCTGCTCATCTGTGAGAGGGGCTAAGAGCAGTAGGTACCTCCTCAGCCTCTGTAAGAGCAAAATAACATCCTGTGTGTGCTTTGCGAATGCCTCTCAGCAAGGACACTGGTAGGAAAAATCAGATGGATTCCAGAGCTGGCTGGTGAGCAGCTAATTGTTCCTGCACAGATCACAGATCCCTGATGCCCTCCCTGCTCTACGAACCAAGACACACGCACACCCCCGCCTGGCCCAGATCTGGGACAGAGGGGTGCACGTTCCCAACCTGCTCTCCTTTACCCGCTTTGAGCCATCCACACTGATCTGAAAGCTGGGGGGAGTTAGGACAGTTTCTGTGTTCAGCCCACAGCCTGCACTGAGCAAACGCTCCACAAAGATGATCTGAGTAGATGACGAGGGACAAATTAACGATTCTCCTTCACTCCTGCCCCCTCCACTGCTCCAGCAGGGACAGGGGCGTCCATCCTGCTCAGTCCCTTCTCACCCTGTGCCCTATGAACTCACCTGTCCTGGCTTCACCTGCCTTCTCCCTTCTCGGGCCTGGAAACCCAGACCCCAAGGGATACGTGGCAGAAACTAAAGGGCTAGAAATGGCCTGGGACAGGATGTCCACCCTGAGTCTCAGGGCTCAGTTCCTTATAGACTTGGCTTCTTTAGGAAAAGCTCTTTCTTCCTTTCTTTCTTTCCTTCTCTCTCTTTCTTGTTTTTATCTTTTTTGTATGAAAACTGCTTTCACAAAGGTTTGAAGAAAAAAATACACTGACAGCAACGGAAATTCTAATACTAGAAAAATGTCAAGAAAGCAAGTGCCGGTTTCAATGAGACGGTGAGCCTGACAGCTCATGGAAACAGGCTTGAAACTATCAAAACACAAAAACCCCCCTTGCAAAGGGAACACAGCACTCACTTGTGAAACTCATCAAATTCAAAACATGCCTCAGTGTTTTTGTGCCCATGCCAACAGACAGCCCAGTGCAAGACTCTCCAAGGGTCTTGGGGTGGGGTGGGGGGTAAGGACGGAGGCGATAGCATGAGCCTCAGCTGACCACTGGGCTCTCAGTGAGCCCTGGAGTGGTGAACAGAACTGGGGAGGAAGAGCGGGCAGGGCTGAACCCTCTACAGGCAAAACCCTCCGTTGATCAAATCCTCCCCGAGGACCAGCGCCTGAGCCTGGCTGCGCTGCTCCCAGGCCATGTGGCTCTGGGCCAGTCACCTGCCTTTCTGGGCCTTGTCTCTTCTCGCTGGACGGGTTGTGACACCCTCTGTAAGAACCCACCTTGCAAACCAGAAAGGGAGACTCAGGCAACTCTCCTGTCAGGGCCCAGCACACAGTAGGTGCCCAATCAATGCTTGTGAGGTGCTGAGGAAGACCTAGGCCTGCCTTGACAGGGCTGCACAGGAGAGAGAAGAGATTTAGCTTCCAGGGGGGAGCTGGAAGAGACCCCCTGCAGAGAGGGGTGGAGTGGTGAAGACCCTGGCGGGCTTCTGGGATGACTGGCCTGAGGGCGGGGCAGGGATCACAGCAAGGATCTGGGACTCCTGGTGAGAAAAGAAGGCCCCAGACACAGGGCCTGTCAACAAGGCAGCAGCTGACCTCGGGCAGCCACTTTGCCCCGTATCACACCACACTTAGCAGCCCAACCTCAATTAATCCACAGGCCAAGCCTCTGAAGTAGGTTCCACCATCTTCATTCTACAGATGAGGAAACTGAGTCACATAGCTTGTTAAATGGCAGAACCAGGAGTCCAGCCCTGTCAGTCAGCCCTGCAGACCATATACCCTGTGTGCCCCAAGTGCACTGTGCTGACTTGCCAGGGGGTATAACAGGGAGAAAGAGAAAGAGGGGGCAGAGAGAAAGAAGAGAGGAAAAGAGAGCACTCAGGAATGTCCTGACCAGGGGTGCAGAGGAGGAAAGAATGAATGACACCATGGGTCTGTAAATCACACCAGCACTGCAGCCAAAGGCTACACGGGGCAAGCCATGTGGCTTTCAAGTTATATTCCCACTCCAGGTGGGGCTAGGGAGGAGCAGCAGCTCTTGGGAAGCCAAACAGAGGGAGCCCTGAGGCTGGACTAGAAGAAGTTCAGTTTTCCAAGCCCAAGCCTGGTCCAGCACTATGTGTGCCTGGCTCAGGCAGCCTCTTTGGACCTCTGGACACTCACCTACAGAATCCAGCGTGGGCCGGAAGGTCTGGACTGGGTAGCACAGGTGGAGCTCTGAAATGACAGCAGGAGGAGGGCTGGAGGTGCCTGCCTCCAAGAGCAGGCCAGGCTAGCAGACAGCAACCCATACCCCTCCCAAGCCCCAAGGACACATCCACTTACTCTGCTGAATCCACTTCCTGCAGGCCTTCCAGTGGCACAGGAGGAGGAAGCTAGAGCCAAGCACTATCACCAGCATCATGATCACCCATGAAAGTACTGGTCCTGAAACACACAGGGGCCCTCACTCTTTGTCCCACAGCAACCACACAGGACAGCCCTAGCTTTAGACTACTTCCTCCTTCCCCTGGGACACATTGTGATTAATGATACCTGGTCTATGCCCAAGCCAGGACTGTATCTGACCCAGCCCTTACCTCCCTGCCCTCCTTTACCTGGCTCCAGGAAACCAATCAACTACTTATAGTTGAGAGAAGAGCAATTTCTAGAAGGTGAGAAATTGAGCCATCAAGGAGCCAGAATGAAGAAAGAACTGAGATATAAAAGGTGAGAGTCTGGGCCGGGTGTGGTTGCTTGTGCCTATAATCCTAGCACTTTGGGAGGCCGAGGAAGGAAGACTGAAGCCAGGAGTGTGAGACTAGCCAGGGCAACATAATGAGACCCCCATCTCTACTACTACTAATAATAAATGACCAAAGTCTGGGGACTACGGAGAAGGACACAGTGTGATGGGCACCTGGCAGCACTTCTGGTGTGGCCAGATTAGGAGGGAAGGAAGCTGAGCAGGGGGACAGGGAAGAGGTGGTTGGATGAGGTCCAACAGCCAGCCAACCCCGAGAGTGTGAGCTCCACGAGGGCAGGCATGGGGTCCACTCTGCACATGAACACATGCAGCAAGCATCTCAGAATGAATGAATCAACAACCTATGTCCCAGGCACCCTCACTATCTCCATTTATAAACAAGGAGACTAAGGCTTGAGAAGGTTCAGTAACTTCTCCCAGGTCACTCCCTACAGTAAGTGGCAGTGTCCCAGGTCAGGCCAGGCAGACTCCAGAGCCCACACGCTTAACTGTCATCTGGATCTGTTTCTTTAGGTCGTAGTGCTCAACTTGTTCCCTTTTTCTTTTTGTCACATATAGACACAGTATATCGGCTTATCACTTTTCATATCCACTTTTAGATGTTAAAAAAGAGGCACATGCCAGTTGTTAAGTGTGTCTCAGACATTAATGTGCATATGTGTGCCCTGGAGATCACGTTAAAATGCAACGTCTGGTTCTGTAGGCCTAGGGAGGGCCCCATAATTTGCTTTTCTAACCCGTTCTTGGAGGCGCCAAGGCCGCCACTGAGGAGTCCACTTAGACAACAACTGACGTGGGAACTACCGCCATCTAGTGTCAGTAGCTAGAACTGCAAGTCCAAAAATGAATGGCCGGAAACCATCTTTCAAGAGGTAACACTGTGACCGTCCAACCTGCGAGGTGATGTGCTAGATACACGTGATACTGCCTACAATCCTGCCTGGTCTATTCCTTTACAGTTTCACAGGTGAGAAAACTGAGGCTCAGAGGGATTAGCAACTAGTCAAGATCAAGAAATCATCCGGGTGGCGCCTGTGGCTCAGTGGGTAGGGCACTGGCCCCATATACCGAGAGTGGTGGGTTCAAACCCGGACCCCGCCAAACTGCAACAAAAAAATAGCTGGGCATTGTGGCGGGCGCCTGTAGTCTCAGCTACTTGGGAGGCTGAGGCAAGAGAACTGCCTATGCCCAGGAGCTGGAGGTTGCTGTGAGCCGTGTGACGCCAGGGCACTCTACTGAGGGTGATAAAGTGAGACTTTGTCTCTACAAAAAAAGAATCATCTATTAGATGACTTCATCTAATAGGTGGTACCTATAGCTCAGTGGGTAGGGCGCCGGCCATAAACAGGCTGGCAGGTTCGAACCCAGCCTGGGGCCAGCTAAACAACCACAACTGCAACAAAAAAATAGCCAGGTGTTGTGGCAAGCGCCTGTAGTCCCAGCTACTCTACCCAGGGCAATAGCTTGAGACTCTGTCTCAAAAAAAAAAAAGTCATCTGACAAATAACTTGTTTTCTTTCTTTCTTTTTTTTTTTTTTTCCATCCCTGGTAGAGTGCTGTGCATCACAGCTCACAGCAACCTCAAACCCTTAGGCTCAAGCAATTCTCTTAGCCTCTCGAGTAGCTGGGACTACAGGTGCCTGCCACAACGCCCAGCTATGTTTTTAGAGACAAGTTCTCATTTTAGCTCAGAGCTGGTCTCAAATTCATGAGCTCAGGCGATCCACCCGCTGTGGTTCCCAGAGTGCTGGGTGTGAACCACCACGCCTGGCCAACTTGTTTTCTGTGTAGCACTTAGGGGCCATCAGGATGAAGCTGTGAAAAAATTCCTGCTCAGTGCTTGCTTCGGCAGCACATAGACTAAAATTGGAACCATACAGAGAAGATTAGCGTGGCCCCTGCTCAAGGATGACATGCAAATTTATAAAGCATTCCGTATTTAAAAAAAAAAAAAAATGGGGTGACGCCTGTAGCTCAAAGGAGTAGGGCGCCGGCCCCATATGCTGGAGGTGGCGGGTTCAAACCCATCTCCAGCCAAAAACTGCAAAAAAAAAAAAAAAAAAAAAATTCCTGCTTACAAGAATGAAATAATAGTCACTAGCAAGTGACAGACCCACAGCCCCAACTCAAGAAGCCAGACACGGCTTGGCACCTGTAGCACAGTGGTTATAGCACCAGCCACATACACCAAGGCTGGTGGGTTCAAACTGGCCCAGGCCAGCTAAACAACGACAACTGCAACAAAAAATAGCAGGGCATTGTGGCAGGCGCCTGTAGTCTCAGCTACTTGGGAGACTGAGGCAAGAGAATCAAGCCCAGGAGTTTGAGGTTGCTGTGAGCTATGACGTAATAGCACTCTATTGAAGGTGACATAGTGAGACTCTGTCTCAAAAAAAGAAAAAGCCAAACACCTGTGGTCTATCTCAATCCCCTCCCAGGCCACACCCATGAAGGAGACGCTTCCCTCCAGGCCCCCTGAGAGGGAACCCCTCTGCCAGGCACAGACTGTCATTACCTGCATCTAGAATGGGCTTTCCCGTGGAGGAGAGGGAGATGGGGGCGCTTGTCGGGATGGGCAGCGTCTCGATGGTCTGGGAGTCCACCAGGGAGCCCATGGTGTTGGTGTCGTGGGAGCTGTGGGGAGGGAAGCCGAAGGGCAGGGTGACGGATCCACGTGGAAAAGGGGAGCGCGTATCCAGGAATGATCCTCTTTCTCTAGAGACTGTAGTCAAGGCCTGGATCCCCAGATTCTCTGCCCACTGTCTCTGCCAGGCATTGTTTTTTAGAGAGAGTCTCACTTTGTCACCCTCAGTAGAGTGCTATGCCACCACAGCTCACAGCAACCTCCAGCTCTTGGGCTTAGGCGATTGTCTTTGCTTTAGCCTCCCGAGTAGTTGGGACTACAGGTGCCCGCCACAACGCCCAGCTATTTATTTGTTGCAGTTTGGCCGGGGCTGGGTTCGAACCCACCACTCTTGGTATATGAGACGCTGCCCTCCGCTCTGGGGTTCTAGGCTATCTGGCTTTCCCATAATGCCAGCACAGAGATGGACACACACTCCCCCAAATGACCTGCAAGCTTGGCATGAAGGATCCAGCCTGTGCTCCCACCACCACCCCAGGCATCCCCTGGAGCTGGTAGGGCAGCCCAGCCTGCAGCACACGCAGCAGAGGTGGGGGTGGAGGGCTGGGGTCACCTCTCAAGCGTCTCCCTGCTCTCTGGGGTGGTGCTGCAGTCAAGGTGGGTCCCTGGAGGAGGCAGCTCTGAGGTGGTATCCATCTCAGCCATACCTGTGGGGGCAACATCTGAGAATCAGTGCCACTGAGCCTGGTGTCTCCAGGGAAGACTTACCCAACAGAGACTGATTTCCAGGAGGAAGCACAGCGCCGGCTGCCTATGAGCAGGATTCCTGCTGCCCCTGACTGAGACCATCAGATCTGTGCTTCAGAAGGTCAAAGCAGAGAAGCAGCTGCTCATCTCCAACCCCTGTGATCCCCAGGACAGTGGCCCAGTGACCCAGACCTTCTGATGCTAGTTAAGAGAAACCTGAAATCTCCTGATGTTTAAACACATCCTCAAGTTTTATTTATCTTATTGTTTATTTATTTGGAGACTGTCTCACTCTCTCACCCTGGGTGGGTAGAGTGCTGTGGCATCATAGCTACAGCACCCTCAAACTCTTGGGCTCAAGAGATCCTCTTGCCTCAGCCTCCCAAGTAGCTGGGACTATCGGAGCCTGCTACAATGCCCAGCTATTTTTTAGAGAAGGGGTCCTGCTCTTGCTTGCATTGCTCTCAAACTCGTGAGCTCAAGTGATCCACCCACCTTGGCCTCCCAGAATGCTGGTATTACAGGCATGAGCCACCTCACCCTGCCCATCCTCAATTTTTAAAGTATTTTTCCTTTCAAAATCAATTTGAGTAGGATTTAATTTATATGCAAGAATCCCCTAAGTATACAGTTCAATGAGTTCTGACTATAAGTCCAATCAAATAGCCTGGGCACAGAGGCTCATTCCTAGAATCCTAGCACTTTGGGAGTCTGAGGAGGATCACTTAAGGTTAGGAGTTTATGACCAGCCTGGGCAACATAGCAAGATCTTGTCTCTACAAAAAGTTAAAAAAAATTAGTCGGGCATGGTGGTGCATGCCTGTAGTCCAAGCTACCTGGGAGGCTAAAACAGGAAAATTGCTGGAGTTCAGGAGATTCAGGCGGCTGTGAGCTATGATGACGCCATTGCACTCTGGCCCAGGAGACAGAAAAAGACCCTGTCTCCAAAAAAAAAAGTATATACAGCAGAGCCTCCATGGTGACCACCTCCTTAAGTTGAACTAATTTCCATAGCCCAGACATGCACCACATGTATATCAGTACGATAGGCCTAGTTCCTTACGTTGACCGGTTTCTTAGAGACCCTTGGGTGGTCAAGTTACAGAAGTTCTAGTATGTGTGTGTGCAGATAGAGAGAGAGAGAGGGAAAACATTCCTGTCACCCCAGAAAGTCTCCTAGTGCCCCTCTTCAACCAATCTTCCCCCTACCTCCAGACCCAGGCAACAACTGATTTGCTTTACATAATTTGCTCTAGATGCATTTCGTCTGTTCTGGAATTTCACACAGATGGAATCATTCTTTGGTGACTGGCTTCCTTCACTCAGCGTAATGTTTCTGAGATTCACTCCTATTACAATTAGCAGTTCATTCTTTTTTTTCCCCCCCTGCAGTTTTTGGCCAGGGCTGGGTTTGAACCCACCACCTCCTGCATATGGGGCTGGCGCCCTACTCCTTTGAGCCACAGGCACTGCCCGGCAGTTCATTCTTTTTATTGCTTAACAGCATTCTGTTGTGCAGACGTAGCATGGTTTACTTGTTCATTCACCGGGCGATGGACATTCTAGTTTGAAGCTATTATGAATGAGGCAGGAGTATTCTTGTACGTGCCTGTGTGGACGTGGGATTTCATTTCTCTGTTGATTACCAAGGAGGGGTGGCTGGGTCACTGTGCCGGCCACCTTGGTTTTACAGATGGACAGAACCACAGAGCTGGAGCTGAAGCCAGAATTCAGGGATGGTGAGCCCAGCCCAGAGCACTGTCCCCTGGAGCAGGGCATCTCTTGCCTGGGACCTGGGCACTTTCTTATCAGCTTATGATCAACTGTTTTTTCTGGGGCAGAAAAATCTGGCCCACATTTGAAGCAGGTCATGCCCAGTGGCCACAGCCCTGGCAGCAGGACCCTTCTTTGATGTGGCAGAAAGCCGCCCCCACACACAAACCCTCCCCTTCTAAAAAGTTCTCATGATGCCTCTTAGATTTTTCCTGAAATGCTTAGAAGAGAAAGTAAGGCTTGGACTGGTTTCCTTCCTAGACTGGTAGGGTCTTAAGAAAACCTCCTTTTGGGGGGAGGGTCTCCAATCAGATACTATATCTTTCCATGACTACATTTGAAGCCCAAAAGCTGCAGGCTAGGGGAAGACGAGGCAGTTTGTTATGATGTATTTGTAAATAAGCATTTGACATGGCATTGGGCTTCAGCGACCTTGCACTTTGAAAGACTTGGAGGGGCTCTTTGCTTGAACCCGTTAGTGAGCAAACGGGCTCGCTGTCCCATGTGCACAGAAGCCAGTAGCTTCTGAGAAAAGAACGGCTTATTATAGGGCCTCCAGCAAGGAGACAGGAGGTGGACTTAAATCTTTCTCCCCTGTTTGGGGGCTGGAGCAAGTCCAAGGGAAAGGATTTAGGAGTGTTGACTTCCTAGGGTCTGAATGGAGGTCATTAAATTTGGCCAATTCCAGTAAGGTAGGTTGAGGCAGATTTGAGCCCAGGACCTTCTGAATCAATGGATCCCATTTCTGAGAGTTCTAGCATTTAGGTTCCAGGCACATTCTGGCCTTCTTGGTTCTGATGGGAGGAATTGTTACAGGAGTTGTTAGTGATCAAAGCTTTTCTTATTGTGGGTGCCTGGTTTGGGCTCAGTTGTAACTACAAGGAAACTCAACATTTTGTTATCCATATGGTAGGCCTGATTTGGGCTGGTCACATGGTTACAAACCAGCTAGATGTAGCTAGACTCAGTTAGTACCAGGAGGATAGAGCCCTCTGACTTCTCTCTCTGGCAGCCTGGTGTAACTAGACAGGTGCAGGGTAAGCTACCTGCTAGAATCTAGCCAGACTCTGCTGTCCCTCCTCCAAGCACAGAAAGGAACTCCTGTGAGCTACAGGCGCCACCCAGTTTTTCTATTTTTTAGTACAGATGGTGGTCTCACTTTTGCTCAGACTGGTATAAAACTCCTGAACTGAAGGGATCCACCTGCCTCAGCCTCCCAGAGTGCAAGGATTACATCCATGAGTCATTTTGCACCTGGCCAAATTGCCCATATTGTTTTTGTTGATAAAGGCACAGGGTGCCTTCACTATATCCTCAGGTGTCTCTATTCTACTAATCATGAAATTTATTGTGATTGTTTATTCCTAAAACAGTTCTTTGGCGCCCTCCACTTTCTTGCTCTGATCTGGCTCAGATGCCGTCCAGGGCTCCCCTTGTTGTCCTTGGAGAGAGTCTTTGTTTTTTAGATTTTATGGTTTATATTTTGGGGGGTTTTGTCCCCTCATTTAGCTGGGTTACATTTTTAAAATAACTTTTTTTTTTTTTTTTGTAGAGACAGAGTCTCACTTTATTGCCCTTGGTAGAGTGCCGTGGCATCACACAGCTCACAGCAACCTCCAACTCCTGGGCTTAAGTGGTTCTCTTGCCTCAGCCTCCCAAGTAGCTGGGACTACA